CAGCTAACTAAACTGCACTGCAAATAAATAAAAACTGAATAAAAAGAATTTATTTCAATATTAATATTTAAATTTCACACTTTGTACATTTAATACACGAGTTGAAAACAGCAATGCACTCAGGATTATTATTATTAACTAAAACTAAAACTAATAAAAAGCATTTCTGTTAATAGAAATAAAGCTGGAATTATAATCAAACATAAATATTAGATGAGCAATCAGAAATGAAAATTAGAACTGTTGCCATGGCAACTAATTGAAATACGTTGAAGCACTAAATTACTGACTAGAAAATAAATAAAAACTAACACCATGTTCAAACTAATTATACTAAAATGCAACTAAATTAAAGGCAATTTGAAATATGAATGTGAGAGAGAGAGAGAGAGAGAGAGAGAGTGTGAGTGTGTGTGAGATTGTGTGAGTGTATGTTTGCGTGCGTGTTTGTGTGCGTGTGTTTGTTTGTGTGTGTGTGCGCGTGTGTTTGTGTGGTTATAGCTGAAGTGTGTGTGTGTTTGTTTGTGTTTGCGTGCGTGTGTGTGTGAGATCAGCTATCTGATCCACGACACCACATCAGTGTGATACGAGTTTGAAACACACTTGATGATAAGAATCACACACACACACACACACGCACTTCTCCACAGCTCAGTTTTTCTCTGCCGTTCTGCTTTCTTTCTAACTCGCCTCCTTCATGAATGCTGCCTCTATTCCTGCACTAATGCAGCCTTAAACTCAGAGAGAGCGACAGAATGACGGGGAAAATAAACACGAAGGCCAGAAACATGCTTCACACAAAACACACTCCAGCCGTTCACCCAACAAACACACGCTTCACGTGCGTGAACAATGCAGGAATAACTCACGCACTCGTGTGAGTGTGTTTCGAGACGCACAAGCGCTGGTGTGTGTGTGTGCGCGTGTGTGTACGAGTTTGAAACACACTTGATGATAAGAATCACACACACACACACACACGCACTTCTCCACAGCTCAGTTTTTCTCTGCCGTTCTGCTTTCTTTCTAACTCGCCTCCTTCATGAATGCTGCCTCTATTCCTGCACTAATGCAGCCTTAAACTCAGAGAGAGCGACAGAATGACGGGGAAAATAAACACGAAGGCCAGAAACATGCTTCACACAAAACACACTCCAGCCGTTCACCCAACAAACACACGCTTCACGTGCGTGAACAATGCAGGAATAACTCACGCACTCGTGTGAGTGTGTTTCGAGACGCACAAGCGCTGGTGTGTGTGTGTGCGCGTGTGTGTGTGTGTGTGTGACTGAGGTATTTCCTCTGGGTCTGTGACAGTAAGCACTACGGCGTGAATACACTCATCAGGGCCTCGAGAAACCCAGAGCGCACCTTTCCAACCACTCGACTCACTAAAAATACAAACGCACTTAACTCACACCTAAATATAGAAGAGCAACAACTGGTTTTTGTGCGAGACAGAGGTTTATCCACCATCACACTGCTAAAGTAAAGGTGGCTCAGCACTTTAAAAACCTCGAATCAGGAACCACAAGCTTCAGCAGCCACGCAGCAGGACCAAACAAAACGCAATCAGTCGAGCATCTAATGTGACACGCATTTAGCGATGCTTAACTGACTTTGGATATTAAACATGTTCTCAAAACTCATAAATACAGAGCCCTTATATGGACATGGTGATAGGAAGGAATAACTATTTTAACTATATAGACCACTACCAAACATTTTCGGTACAAATACACCCCTAATCCTTACAATAAAGTCGTGGATTCTGATTGGCTGTCAGTGTTTCCATTCTTCATCATCTAAAAAAAAATCGCTCTGAAAGTGATTCCAATGTCGTTACTCTGTCATTGTCGTTAAAGCCCGTTCACACCAAGTACGATAACTGTAACAAAAACTATATTGGTGTCCACACCAGCGAGCGATAATGTTCTGCTTACTATAAGCGTGCTGCAGTTTTGTCGCCTGCCGCTTTAAATGCTAGAGCGCTTTAAAGTCGGTGGATTCTGATTGGCTGTCGAACTTTTTATCGTACGTCAACTAGAAAAAACGTTCTGAAAGGGACTCCCAACGATATCGTTCCTCGGTGTTGTTTTCGTTAAGACCCAGAACGATAGCTATAATGATATTCATAACAATTTCTATATATCTCAAAGAGATATTCTTTATAAAAGTTAAGACTCATCCAAGACTTCCTAAAACACGCCCCCACATGTCTACATCACTGTGTGGGAAGATTTGCATAACGCCGCCCAAATGTTCACGCAAAGAAAGAAGGCGTATCTTTTATTCTCGCTGTAGTATTGTTGCCGTGGAGACACTGTGTGTTTCCAAATATGGTGAGGGGCGTAACATTTCCGTCTCACGCTTGAGGTGTTCGGCCA